CATAGTCGATGAGGCTGAAACTTCTGATGAAGAAGAAAATTGGTCAAATGTAATTGAGAACTGGGTTGGAATGTTAGACAGTGAAAATCGGTTAGAGAATGGTGAAATTGTAGATGATGAACTACCTGAATTTGAATTTGGTGGGCGCACTACTCACCCAGCAGATGATTCATTGGCAAAATAGAATTTGTTGGAATTATTCAATAATTCATTAGATTCACCTATTTCTTTTGCCCTCCAATAAATTCAATTAAATGTAATGAAGTTTATATTGGCATTAAAAATCGTAGAAGTTTTGAAAATTTTAGCAGTTAAATAAAATAAAGTGCTTTAACTTGACTTCAATTGATTTGGAATAATTTATGCGCAGTACCTTAAATAATTGAAAAACAATTAGTATACAAATTTATATTACGCACTATATAAATTATTACTTATTAGTTGTATTTATGTATTTTAGTATGCGCAGAAAATCATTGGCACTGTGTAGATTTTTTTATTATACGTGATTTCTAAATATGGATTCAGACTTGTTATATGTACGTATGTATGTATGTATGACCTGCGGTCTGATAAAAAAGTTAATTTGCGATTTTTTATAGGCATATTTGTATTAAATAACTAATCATATTTTTAATAGATAATTCAAATGACCATAACAGGTCACTGGGTTTTTAAAATGATCCAATGACTGGTCACTAGTCATTTGAGTCATTTGGGTCATTTCAAGTCATTTACCATCACTGATTCTAACTAATCCACTTACTGTATTGTCGCGAAATAACACACAGGGGTGAAATTACAAATTTTAGCCTAAATTAAGCTTAATTCGGGCCATTATTCTAAATAACTTCCCTGTGTGTTATTTTGCGACAATACGGTACTTTTTGTCACCTGTATACAGCCAGACTTCTCTAAGTACACCCCCTCTAAATAGGCGCTCAGATTCTGGACCTAAATATATTCTTGACCTCTATAAATGTGCCTTTCCTTATTATTCTCTAAATACACATTGTTAAAGTGTAGTCCCAAGGGCGTGCACTTAGAGAGATCTGACTGTAGTTTGTAAGTTATTTACATGACTTTTTTTTTTTACAGTAGCTAATTCTACCAACCCACTTACTTTTTTGTCACCTATATAGGACGTAAGTTCTTTACGATTGACTTTTTTTTTTGGGGGGGTCTACCTCATTTCACCGACACTCATTTCGTAAACATAGCCTTTTACCAACAATCATTTCACCAACACTCAATTCACTGATACTTAATTCACTGACAGCTCAATTCACCAACAAGCTCAATTTGCCAACACTCAATTTACTGACAATTAATTCAACACTCAATTCACTGACAAAGTAATTATTCCGGAATTATGTTTACTGTATGAGTGAAATAAGTTAGCTTCAATAATGGGTTCGTGATTTTGACAGTGAGTGTTCTTTGTATTCAATATTAATATTTAGAATTTGTAATTTACCGGTCCCTGTAGTAATTCATGTAATTCATTGTATTAATGTAAGACATAAATTATTCAATAAAGACCAAGGCCAGGCCTCACTCTTTAAAAAAAAAAAAAAAAAAAAATTGTAATTTACTGCCATAACGATGTATCACTACTTCTTAAACTTAATGGTCATGTTGGGGTTCCAATATACAAATCCCACTTATGATTAGTAATATAGATTAATAATCATAAGCAGGTTTGAATATTGAAAAC